TAGCATATATATATATATATATATATATATATATATAATGTCATATTTTCCTACGGTAACTTGCACCACCCACGTGACTTGTTGGACATTTCCATTGAACATAAGGGAAGTTGTAGCCTCTGGACATTACCTCATCTGACAGTGGAAAAGGACACTGTCCATTTGCATACCCAGCATGATAATCTTGCAAAAACACTTCGCACGGAAAGACAAAGGTACCTTAGGTGAATGACACAGAACAATGGCTAGCTACAGTGAAATGAACTGAATAACTTTCTTAACCCACCTATTACCTAAAAACCTGCATACAACTGAATAAATAAATTTGTTTGTAAATTTTCATATTAAAACGAGAAGAGAAATGGATACATGGTAGAAAACACATGCTCGGATTCAACAGACCATACTCGGATGGAAAAGATTGTAGTTTTTCTTTGCTATATTGGTTTTATTTTCATTACATTTCTGAAAATAAGTATTTTGTAATTTTCTTTAAACTCTGACAAACGAGAAGAACAACTTTTCTAAACAGTTTTTCTATTTTAATTTTGTTGGTACTCTGTGACGTTTTGCAATCGTAACACTTTTAGTTGATTAAAATATTTCACATTGTTTCTGTAGAAGTTAAATTTATGGCTAAACTTGTTTGAACTAAAATTTATGTTAACAGAATATTTTTATTGCAACTAGGATTTATTACTATATAAGTAGCAAAAACTTTCCAAGAATACCTTTTATCTACAACTAAATGTTGCATTTTTTGTCAGTTGCATGAATTCAAGTTTGAATAAAAACATTTAAATTTACAGTAGCTAATAACTATAAGCTTGTAAGATTGACCAAGTATTTACTGGCTACTTATGTAGGGATTTTTGTATGCTCATTATTTTTGTATGGTTTTAGTATTCATTCCTACCTTGTTTCTGTACTTTTTGGCATTGCTGTCCCTACTTCATACTTAATTTTTGCAAATGTTTTATTATTACTTGTTCCCTCTTTTTTTAAAACACTTTCATTGAAGTAGGTTGATAAGTGACCATTTGTTTTATTTTTATAATTCAATGGTAATATATATTGTTAATATCATATCAGTTTCTTTAATCTTGGATACATTGGAGGCCAATAAAACTGGAATAGTTCCTCCAGGATGGTACAAGTATCCCGGAGCACTGGTCTGACGTTAAGGGTGCATTTACAGAACCCAAGCCTTCTATCTTCACCCAAACTCACTGCATGTGCATGCAATTGAGTCCACCACATGCTAGGGTCACGTTGGTTAATGGGGAGGACATCATACAGATCCCAGGTTTTGCTGTATGATACCATGCTCGACCCCACTGAAAATTTGAAGGAAAATAGACTGTGATATATGTATCCTTTTGATATTTAAGAAACTGGTGTTTTTAAACTAAGACATCAATAACATGTACACACATTAGTCAGTTGCATAAATACTTGATGTCCCTCTTACACCAACATAAACATAGGATAGAATAAAACATTCTTGAAAGCATTGAAATTATGAAGAGGTGTTCTATCTTTAAACCGTGACAAAGGCCCTAGTAACATTAACAAAATCTGGCAAAGTTTATTCACCTAGCTTCACCTCCCTGACTGCTTTGACCTTCCTTTTGGTAATAACTTTGTCACAATTTTCGTCGTCACATTATAACACTGTGTTGTTACATTTTGTTGCCCAAAGAAACATTTTTACTCTTTATATAAAGCTCTTTGTTTGGATTTGTATAATACGTTGGGTGTTTGTTGTGATATGCTTTGTCAAATGTTTGTTATCTTGCTTCTTCTCTTCAACGTCGTCATCAGTCTTGATCTTCTTTCTGCCTCCTGGCCCTCCAGTATTCATATCCACCATAGTGAAACTTATAATCAACCTTTCGAAATTTATCAAATCCATGAACTTAGCAAACATTTTATCGCGAGTGGGGGCAAAGAGGGATATCAACATCCCTAAACATCTCAGTTTGGGAAAGTTTCCTTCCTTTAAAAAATAAATCCCTGTCACAGGTTTTTGTACTATATCCGAAGAAGACATACCAATGCCCTGTCAAAACATGTAGTATGTATTATTTGATTATGCTTAGAAATCGTTGTCTTATATATACACACATACACAAAACAATTTGTGCTGCCATCTATAGACCAGAAATTGAACTGTTATTTATAAAACATGGAATAATACACGCTTATCAACTGAACTCACTGCTAAGTTGTAGTTTTCCTTTTTATTATTTCCCCACATACATACGTGTGGTAGAAGAACATTATAATATTACTGTTATATGAGCTGTGAAACATTCGATAATAGCAATTAGGTGCTAAAATACGGCTATAACTCAACTTTAGCAGTTATTTGTAAGCATCATAGAGTAATAGATTGAATGCAGCGGCCATTTTTGTCCTCGGCCCACCTCTACATACTAAGCACTACCGTGCTTAATGATAGCCTGTTCCCAAATGCTCTTAAAATGCTTTTCTACCATTGTGAAAAACTTCATTAATTTTTTGGCTAGTGTGGGAGAAGAAAAAAGAAAGATGAACACTTTGGCTCTTTAGCTAGTTCCCAGTTCTCCACTTTTCAATGATATTATGAGTCTCGCTGGCTATGAAACAATAATGGCAATTAGATGCTCAAATAAGGTTATAACTCAACTTTATCAGTCGTTTGTAAGCATCACAGAGTAACAGCCCATCCTTTCATACTAAAACACCACCGTGCTTAGTGACATAGATTTCTAACAATATATTATACAAAAAAAATATGAGTAAACTGTCCTGATTTCAAAGACCTATATCGAATGAGTTTTAAGAGACAAAATAATAAATTGAGATCTGGTTTATGTACAAGAATACTGCGATCAATCGGTAGGCAAAATAGGAAACTAATCAGAAAAAACAAAGCAAGAGAGGGAGAGAAAATTTTGAACGCGATTTTTGCCAATGCACAATTAATAGAAATTTGTAAATATTTTGTCGGTATCAATACATATAGATCATCTGTTTGAGTTACAACTAGCATCGGCACAAAGCGCCTACAGAATTAAAATTTTTCCATATATTCACCTTTTAAAAATTATCTGAAAACAAAACTTGATGGGGAAGTCCCCATCATGTCGGCTGGTCCCTGCTCCCACTGTCACAAAGACAACTTACCAGTGATACCACACAAGTATGGTTTACTAGGACTAGAGAAATATGAACTCCAAAATTTAAAATTAAAGCAAACATGTAACCTCATTATCTCACAAAAAACAACAACAGTAATAACCATAAGAGATAAGTTAAATTGTATATGGAAGAGATATTCTGTAACACACTGAACTGTATTTTAATTCTTTAATTTCACATAAACCTGTTAAACTATAACATAAAACAATCAAACTTGTGATTTGATTACAATATTAAGTGAATTTATTATCTAAAATTCAAAACTATTATTTCATTTTCGCTGACAATTACACACATCTCTAAATGTTTCTAATACTTAGCCATGAGTGTCAAATTAAATGTGGCTGATATAGTGTTGTAACGAGTTTTATCATTGGGTGGGTCCAGTTCACATAACAATAACAAATTAATTTATTCCTTCAATATATATGTTTGCTACAGCCTCTTTCACTTATGTGCCTAATTTCAAATACATAAACTCCAAATGAATATAAACCTAACTGACTTTATAATGCATGGCTAATTAATGATTGAGTAACTGAATAGCAGAATAGACATGATAACTCTCACTTCTAACACTAAATAACTTTTCTGACACTGAACTGAATGAATTACTTAGTGAGTACTTGATTTCTCACTGAACATAACAACTTGCACTGAATCACAAACTAACACAATCAATACTTGCAAACTTCTCATTCACTGATTACTCATTTATATTATATTTGGCTTCTCCTTACCACATGAATTATCCCCTGATGGATCAGTGTTAAGTCTCTGGAATTTAGACACTTAAATCTGGAGTTATATTTCCTGTAATTTGCAGAGCACAGTTAGCCCATTGTGTAGCTTTGTACTAAAGAAACCAACAACTAAACAAGTTTTCCAGATTATAACATCATGCATCCTCTAGCAAACCTTTAATTTAAAACACAGAAAGTAAAGCTTACAATAATAGTAAAGCTGCAACAAGAAATACAAAAATTCTAGTAAATAATTAGAAGTTTAATGCTTTAAAACTAAGTTTGTAAAAAAATCATCATCAAGGTTGATTTTTTCAAATGTGACAAAACTTAATTTTGATAAAATGAAATCTTTAAAAGTGCAAGAATTCAAGTTACTTCCATGCTGATGATAAATTTCTGTGTGAAAACAGGCATCTCTTTCTATAATGATGCTTGAATTTAGAATGAAAGGAAAGCAATGAGGATTTAACCACTAAAGGCAAGAACTTCATCAACAAGGACAATCCTTGCTTGTTTGTTTGTTTTTTAATTTTGCGCAAAGCTACACGAGGGCTATCTGCACTAGCTGTCCCTAATTTAGCAATAAAAAATGAGAGGGAAGGTAGATAGTCATTACCACCCACTGCCAACTCTTGGGCTACTCTTTTAGTAAATAATAGTGGAATTGACCATCACATTATAATGCCCCCATGGCTGAAAGGGTGAGCATATTTGGTAGGATGGGGATTTGAACCCACAATCCACAGTTTACGAGTCAAGCACCCTAACCACCTTGCTTTCAAGTATATTACAAGTGAAAGAACCCATGAAAGTTAAGACTTATTTTTAGGAAAATACTTAGAAGAAAAATGTCATATAAAAGGTAAATGAAAATATTTCACTACTAAGTGTAGAAAACCCTTTTAAATTTCCATTTATAATTTACACATTCATATTATTATGATAACATTTGAGACAGAAATGAATACAGAAATTGAACTAAAACTAGGCAATCCATAGTTTCCATTTCACTTTCTTTAATGTTTAATTATGTAGAGGTATATATTACACAAATACACAAACACATGTGCATATATATATATGTATACATAGAGAGGTATGAGTAATGTATGGGTAAATTGACGTACCATCACTGCCACTAAATCTTGTTATTTCTATGCATCTAAATAGAATTATGAATTTTTTATTAAAAGATCCCACCTTATGACCTTTGTACAAGCCAACAGTACAGTACAGAATTAAAAATTTATGGTAGTTTCACTGAAAAGGGGGCAAAGTTACGGTTCTTATAAATTCAATTTATTTATTCAGGCAGTTTTTTTACAATCCTAACCTAGCCTAACTTGACGAAGATCACATACCTGTCTTATCTGTACAAACGTTTTTGAATTATTACACAATCTTCTACTCTTAACTTTCTTTCTACAGTCATTCTACATCCAAAATGTGTGATTTACCTTAATAAAATGCATAGATTTAATTTATCAAAAACTAAATACATCAAATTTAAAGCTACAAGTAGATTTTGATGAACCTATGCATTTCTTGCTTTCCTTGTTGATACAAGTAAGATTAAACTTTTTTATAATTGACTAATTATACTTTTTTGAGTTGGTATAACAATATACATTGGATTTGCTACAAAATACAATTTCAAAGATTACTTCAGACTTTGAAAAACATACATAGCTATATATCACAATTTATTGTTACAAATTTCTTTTTTATTCAGCTTAATGATTTTATTTTGCTGTTACTTCTATACAAGTTTAGCACAAAAAACTAACAAATTAAACTGTTTATTCTACTCACATCTGAAAATCTACTTATTGCATTTGTAGTGTTATCACATCACATGATAATACTGTTACGACAGTGGGGGTCACGTGACGAGTATTCTAGAAGATTCGCTAGTGTGTTACGACAGCGGGGTCACGTGACAATATTCTAGAAGATTCGCTAGTGTGTTGCGACAGCGGGAGTCAATTGACGCTGGTAGCACGTGTTGAGAGTCTTAGAAGTTTCTAGAACAGGCAGTATTATCGTATATAAGTGCGCTAGACAGTGAGAGAGACAGACAGAGTTGAAGCAATAGTGGAGACAAAGACTGAGACGAAGCAGGCAGAGAGAAAGAAAGACAGAGGTTACGGTCGGCGGGAACTGAGGATAGCAGACACAGAGATCGGAACTGTGGTTTGCGGGGACGGACAATTAAGTCCAAGCACGATAGAAAGTGAGTGAATTGTTGTGAACTATAGTGTGTGTTACTGTGAAAATTAAGTACATTACAAAGTTGTATTGAGGAAGAATAAACAAGTTTTGTAAAGAAAGGACTTGTATCTTGTAAGAATTAACAAGCAAACATACAGAGACGTAACAATACTTAACATATTAGTTTTACATCAAAACGTAACTAACCATATGAAAAAAGATTACTGTAAACTCCAGTCACAAGCACTCTCTAGTATGAAATAATAATTTCATATGGAAACTAAGAAATATTACATACAGAAGTTTTTTTAAATTATGATCTGTGAACATGGTTATTACTATCAAAGCACACACATACTTCTAATGCATCACATCAATTTTCAGTTTTAAATATTCTACGGTAATATCACCAGATATCATAAACATGTAAAACAAAACTAAAATAAGTGCATCCCATTATTTTTGCTCTTTCAAGTGTGAAAACTTCAAAATGACTTGTTGATGATTTGGCCAAACTTAATTAACATCATAGTTCTTGACAATACTCTTACTTTTAGTAGTAACACCCACCATTTGACTTACATATATGACAACTAAACTTACATCTTGATATAAAAGGCTCAAGAAAGAATATCCGAGATGTACAAAAAATTAATTCCAGGTGGAAGAAATCAATAGAACAATTTGTACTGGAATTAAGTGAAAAAAATACACATTACTCCTAGTAGATGACAATACTTTTAGCCGGAAGTGGTCTGAAAGTTCATGTCAAAAGATACAAACAGGAAGGTTGACTGGTACGAAGAGCTGAATGATTAATGGAACTTGCTAATAGATTAATCATTAATAAAATTCAACTAATATAAAAAATAGTGATCACCAGAAATACAAATTTCAACTAGTTGGTTATTTTAGTGAGACATGACATTAATATTAATTGAAAATAATAATGAGAAATCATAATGGAAATATTTCTTTTACTTGGATAGTTAGAATAATTAAAAATAGTAATAATTGGATACACTAATTTTGTTTAGTTGATTACTATGAGTGATACTAGTCAATGTAATCAAAAATAATTGTTCTTTAATGAAAAATTTGGTCTCTGAAAAGAAACACATACTTAATGTTTAAACTAGGGGGAAAGAGAACAAGTCACAGATTCTGGAGAACAATTTGGATATTCTTTAAGAAGAGGACTGTCTAGGTCTCCTCTATTTTCATGCTCTGTTGTGTCAGAGCTGCCTGAGGGTGGTCCTGATGTACGTACACATGCACAACGAGGCTCTGTTTCTCCTGGACGATACAGTTTTCGTGGCACACCAATCCAGTTTCTGTCAATTCCACCACTGTAAGTAAAATAAAAACTAGCTGCATTGAAGGGACTTTTTGTTTTGGTAACTGCAAGTTTGCTATATATTATAATTAAAGACTTCTTCTCTAATGACAGCTCCAAGCAGAATTAAAATTCCAATTATTACATCCTTATTTCTTGAAATCTGTTAAGAACTTTATGGGCAAAAGTAACTATATAGATAAACTAAGAATTTAAATGTAACATATACATTAACAGTAAGGTAGATACATGAAAAAATTGCATTTTTGATCATAAAAAAATCATGAAATTTGGCATAAATGTACATTTTAACCCACTCTAAGTAATCAGCTACAAAATCATCCTGAGAATCCAATATGGCAGCTAGAAACCAAGTTGGAAGACACATACATCTGGTTTTGTGAACATATATCATCCAATCAAAAACGTTTAGTTATAAATCTATTCAAAATGTAGTTTTATATCTTTTTTAACATATAATTAAAAAGTTCTCTTCCAGAAAATAATTTTGGTTAACTTTGATATAAAGTTTGTGAAAATATAAGAAACTTTGTCAAGTAAAACTATAAAGATAAATATACATTTAAAATGATGCATATTCTGATATTTTTCTATATTTGTGCTTGTGCATGACTATATTTCACTTATATTACAAAATTATTTGCTTACTTGTTGTTGTTTTCAAATCTCTAAAAATTTATATACAAGTTCCCATATAGAAAGCATGCTGTAGTTGTTTCTGTAGCATTGTGGCTTCTTTCCTTTTCACAAGAACCCATAACTAGATCTGATAACTACAAAAATCTACAAAGGTCAAGAAACACAATAAAGTCAGGTAATAAAAGTCTTGCACAACTAAATATTAACAGTGTCAAATTTCAAAGAATAGAAAAGCAAAAATGCTCTGACGGCAGTGAAACTGTGAAAACCTCAATAAGTACACATGCCATAGTCATTCAATAGACCATGTAGAGAAAAAACCTAATTGTTTTCTTATAAAACAAGAGGCTCCTGAGGACATTTTACACAATTTATCAACTTTTAGGATTGATAACAGTTCATCGATGTGCTGTAATCCTCCAAACAAAAGGATACTTGCAAAACTTAGTGCTGGAAAATTGATTGCACAAGAGGCCAAGTACCATATTTATGTCTTGTTTCTCTTTAAAAAAAAAAAAAGAAAAGAAAGAAAAAATATCAGTTTAGAAGGTGTAGAATATGACACAAATAGAAGGTTTATCAGAAGAAAATATTGAAGATGAAAACATCGTTTCTTGAAACACTTGATGATGAATGACAAGAAAAAGTTGTGTTAAAATAACGTATGCCATTGGTACTAATAATTTTGGATGGCCCAATACCAAAGCCTAATCCAAAAATAGAAGGTGCAACTACTTAAATTTAACAGTGTGATTTTTCAAAGAGGAGGACACACCAACATTAGACACAACACAGAAATAGAAATTACAATACCAATTCATCTTGTTTTCTCTCGCATACCAAGGCTTTAAAATAAGAGCTAATTGACAAACTCTTTACACTAGGGCCATATTTCCTATGACAGGATGTTTGCATTTTCTGCAGATTTATCCAACAGCATGTGCCACATTTATAAGGATGAGAACTCTGTCTGCCCTCCAGAGCTGCAAAGAAGTTTACTTATAACTGCAGCAGTTGGCAACATTGATCAGAAACCTAGGTCAAATACCTCCAAAGATTCCTTTCATGGAACTGGAATATAAATGTTCCAACAACCTAAGTCCAAAGAAGATAGGTTTTCTTATGTGGTATCTGTTACTACATCAACAAACAGAAAGAAGATCTCTCTCTCTTGCCAGAACTGAATTCATGTGTGCCATGCACAACTGAAAGACGAGCATTGTGCAGTATTCATTATGAAAGGTCTGATGAAATAATGTAGGAAGAGCTGTCAAAGACTTTCACAGAAGAGTTCAAATCTAAATTAGTTTAAATATATTAGCATGCTTTTGATTTTTCATTTACATGCAGTTGTGCACGCTTTTAAACTTTCCCATAAGTTTGGTTTCTGCATTGTTGTTACTTGTTGCAAAAGCAAGTTATTGGTAATTTCTCTTTGATACTAATTACACATATGCAGGTGGCTTGACCATGTGGTGGAGGTTAATAATAAAGAAACATTCTGAAAATGACTACCAGATTAGTAAACACCTAGCTGCATCCATTTTAAGAATTGTGATCCCATCAGTGCTACCTTTGTTTTTAGACCAAGTAAAGTCTGTAGAAATGATCTGTCACTCCATGCATATGGCAAAACATGCTGTGCACAACTTGAGCCCTTGACCAATGCCAATCATTGCCACAGAACAACATATCTTCACTTTGCAAAGACAAAACAATGGAATTGGACTAAGTCATATGGGGAGGATAGGTTTGTAAATATGTTTCACATGGAAATTAGAGCACTAAGGAGAACTTGAAATTGGCTAGAGGACAGTGGCTAGACATCCTTATGAAAGTTGATACAGCATCTCTTGGAAATGTTGATTCACTTCTAAAAGCTTCCCATGTTACCCACAGCAGACATGCCATCAGGTTACTGCTGGTAGCCTGTTCATCTTCCTGAAAGAATCATTTAGAAGGAGATGATTGAATCAAATGTTAAACTAAACTTTGCTGCTTGATATGACTATAAGGCAAAAATAACTCCAAAAAACAAAAATAGTATTCCAAATACGATCATACTACTCATGCGGTTCATAAACTCGAGACTGTGAAACAAATGGGTTAAAACATGGCGATAAGAATAAAAAATGCCTGATGAATGGTTTGTTGGTTGTTAAACAAAAAGCTACACAATGGGCTATTTTGCTTTGAACCACCATAGGTATCAAAAACAGATTTTTAGTGGCATAAGTCCAGAAACTTACTACTGAGTCACCAGGGGAGGGGGGATCTAATGAATGGAATAGCCCTAATAATAAGTAAATTCTACTTCAACAAATATCTCACAATTACACATTTTACCATTCCTGCTATTGATTCTATTCTAATTCAGTTTACCCGTTCTAGTCGTGCAGTACTGTTGAATTTTGTTGTAATACAAGGAAAAAGGTCATGATAATATCAAAGAAACAGGATAAAAAAAAACGTTTTTTGCTAGTAAAATATGTTAAGTCTTTAATTTGTAGAATTAGGTCTGTTATAGTTGCTACAGAATAGATAACCACCTTTTGCTAATACAAACTCAGCAGAATTATGGTTTCTCAAGCACTTCATACCTTTTATTAGAGCACCAAACTCTGCCACCTTTTTCAGCACTCCATTCAGAATTACATGGTGGAAATATCTGTTTCTCCTCTGCCTCATCTCTTTTATTAGCTTTGGCTTTTTCAATGGCTGCTAAAGCATCCTGAAGGGCTTGTGTGGGATGTCCATCTTTATCATAATATCTGCCAACTACCTTTCCTAAAAGGAGTATAAAAACCTTTCATACATGATGTTAGAAAAACACGTAGATTCAAGAAGTCTTGATAGAAATAAATAAAAAACCCTATAACCTGAGCGCTTTGGAAAGTTGGATCTTTCTTCTTCAGGGGCAAACTATTTGCCCCTGAAGAAAAAAAAACCTTTCATAATTATTGTGCATACCAGCATATTTTTATGAGCAAATAATACATATATAATAATGATAATTTTAAACATTTAGAGCACAAAATCAGACAATAAACTTTTTGTAACAGACAAGTATTTCAGTGCACTTACTATTAGCGTACTGTAAAAAGTAAACTAACAAACATTAAATAACAGTTACACGTAATACAATACAATATCCCAACTTTTAATTGTTACTACCCAAAGTTAGAAAATACAATAATGGTGTCAGATGTGACATCACAAATACACTAATTATTTCCAAGTGAAATATATATACACTAAATATTTTCTTAAATTCTATTTAGAAATAAACTTATAATAAAAACTGATTAAAACTAAAAGTTAAAAACTGAGCTAAACATTTTAATACTAGCTACATGGAATTGTCAGAATGGATCATGACCAACTGATCCACAAGAAGAGGGAGGAAATGGAAGCATGCCCAATGGAAGGCAAAAAATTTTTGAGTACATGGTTGTGGAGTGAATACTCCTCTGAAGCCCACAAACTCAAAGTCATATTTTCATTTAAAGACACACACTAGTCCAACAGAGAAACATCTGTGAAGAAATAAAAATACGGTCAGGGTGAACCACAAAGAAAAGTCCTGAAGCAGAGGAGAGGCAAACAGTTGAGGACAACAGATTCTGAAAAGGTTCCATTGGTCCCTCAATTTCCACTTGAACAGGTACATGTGTGTGTGGCCTAATTGAATGAGTGTTTCAAGAGAAGCCACAGTCTACAAAAACAAAAGAACCTCACATGCATGGAGTAAAAGAGAAGACAAATCTTGGCGACAGGACATTTCACTGCTTGTAGGCAAAGTAGTGAAGGCTGAGTCCAAAGGAGATTGGAGTTGAAGAACACACCCAGATGTACCAAATAATGATGGGCATGAGAAAAGACTTTACAAGCCAAGCCAGCTGAGCATTTTCATGCAAAAAAATAGAGGTGTAAGAGGAAAAGTCCACCCAAGAAGAGTCAAGAAGCCAATCATTCATTTGATAATGGAATCTCAGCCCAATCTCTGAACAAGGCAGGAAAATGCCCTCATGACTCAAATGACAGTATAAGGAGCAAACACAAAGCCAAAAGGACAAGATAGAACTAGAAAAACCAATCCCAATGGATGAAATGAAGAAAACGTCTGGAGGATGGGGTGACTGGCAAATATAAAAAGGCATCCAAAATGGAAATCTTGATCATCAACAGTCTGATTGAAAAGAACCACTGCTGAAAAAAGAAACCCTCCATATGGAATTTAAGAATGACAAACTGGTTGAAAGATGACAGTTCAATAACCAGATTACAGTCCCCAGTTTTCTGGAGGACCACAAAAAGACAAGAGTAATAACCAGGTGTAGGAGTAAATACCCTCATGATGGCATTCTTGGTCAAGAGATCTAAGACCATATCCTTGAGATACTGAAGATAAAAGGAATTGGATGGAGGAGGAAATGAAATGGAAAAGAGGAAAGGGAAGGAGGAGAAGTGGAGAGATAGGTTGTGGGTGAGAACCTGAAGAACCCTTCTGTCTGACAAAAATGGAGACCAAAGGCTGGTAAAGAGCCAGATGGGTCCCCCCTCAGGTAACAAGGTAATCACCAATGAGACGAGTGACAAGCCTGACACTGGAAAGTGGGATGATGGGAAGTAGAAAAGGCTAGGTAGCTGGAAAAGGAAGGACAGATGTGGATTCAGCAGGTTTAGGAGCAGAAACAGAATGGTGAGGTCGAGAAAAATAAGAAACCAAAGTAGACAATGAGGACTGATGCTGGACCACCTCAGCCCAGGTCTCCAGTGAGGCAGGAACATTTCCAAAGATTTCTGAATGAAGAAATGGAGCCCAATGAAGATCACAGAAATCAGCATGGGGGAAGCATACATTAGTAACGAGAGCATCCTGTCACAACAAGTTCCAACAGCAGAGTAATTAAGTAAGGAGGGATAAAGAAGAAGTACAGGCCAATGTGGTTAAAAGAAGAAAACAAACTTCTGAAAATTCCTCCAGAGCACAATGAAATGATGAGAGATAACATAGGAGGGTGCTAAGACAGAGACAAAAGCATGAAAATTGGGCACTAGAAAGGGAGATAGAAGTTAAGGGGTCCACTCAATCTCCCCAAACAGGTAAAGGAGATTCCAAAGACTGGGAATTGAGGAATGGAAATGAAGAATGGCTGTAAGCAAGGACAAGTCAAGTAGACGAGGCATGTTAGCAGAGGTATGCAGTTGTTCAATAAACAAGTCTGCATGGATGCGAATGGCAGGCAAAGGAAGGAAGACAACATAGTTTGAGTACGAGTTTAATGTAGTTAAGCGCAGAAGGAATCAAAAGACAAAAGTGAAAGAAAAGATCATACCTGCAAAATCATGTCAAGGAAGAGATCAGAAGGGAGAAGATTTTTCTCCACAGATAAAGCTCTGCCTGGAGGAAATAGCCAACCAATATAATCACCATCCTGGCCATGTTCAACCTGGGGAGGAAGAATGTCAGCCAAATGGACAAGAGGAGGTGGCCCAGTGTGCATGAAACACTATTATGAATTTTTTTTTAGATTAAAAGTTAAAATAAAACATGCTGTTTATGTGAATCAGAAACACTAAACCAGAGAAATTTAATGAAATTTAACTCAGTAGGAAGCCATCACAAATCTCATGTAATTGATTAATAATTTAAAAACATGTTTATTCTAGACAATGCTGAGGAAAAAAACAAAGATGTTTCATCTGCAAGTGTTTTGGGGGAGCTATTGTGCCAGGAGGTTGTGTCACTCTCTTATTGGTGAAGGGATATCATTGCATAACAATGTCATAATTCACTACCACAGTTCAAGTTTTACATGTTTGTTTCTTTTTTTTAGGTGGGAGGTAGCTCAAAGCTAATGCCATGCAAATCTCATGGGCAGATGTGTGAAGGAATCAAGCTATTCTGTGTGTGGAGTTGAGTTAGTCATCAATGACTTACATTGGTATTAACATTTTCATTACCTAAATATGAATTTCAGATAGATACTCACCTCTCCATAAACCAGAAAACTAATACGTCATGCCATTGCCAAAATTTTTCAGGCACGCACCTAGCCTTTGAATAAAACTCTTACCTTTACATGTAATAATGTGTATTGCACCAATCTATTATGCAATTATCACTACACTACAAAAAAAAAACGCTCATTCTTAATGATGTAACAAAAACTCACCAAATGTGAAAGAGAAAGGTTGGTGGTTCTGTGGAGAGGTGGGTATCTGTATGAAACAATTTAAGGTAAGAAAAATATTAGCTTAAGAAATGCTATTCACCTCTCCACAACACACATAGTTAAGAATCCCACACCGAGGAGGTGGTGGAGGGCCCAGTGTAGATGGAGAAATGTAAAAGATGAGCTTCTGTATGAGAATATAGCAACAGAAAACTAAGGAAAGGAGGTAACTAGTGGGAGCATCAATCAGTGAAAAACTGCATTCACCTCAAGTAGAGAATACTATTTGCCCAATACAAGTGGTAGTGCAGAAGGGTACAGTCAAAAGAACCCTCCTAAAGTGCTAAAGTGTCATAAAGGCAGGCAGAATGTAAAAGTTGCTCAACAAGTCTGTATATCTCAGGAGGTCAGCAGATCATGTATGTGCATTGTGACTATGGGAATAAATCAATCCATACAGTACTTGAGAAATATTTAAGAGAATAAGCAGGTGCAGGAACAAATCAACTAATACCTGCATCTCAAGACCCATCCAATTGGTCACAACCACTCGGAATGGTCCAGTTCTTAGTGTAGAAGGTGGCCTGTCCTACACTTACAAGTAACAATCCTGACCTACTTCTAATTGAGGGGTGAATCCAACTGATCTCATATCAGTAGAATTATACTGACCCAATAAGCTTAGTACTGAAAAAGAAAATGTGAAGGAAAAATCTGTGTAGGAAAAAAATATTGGAGGTGTGTAGACCAAACAGGAATTACCTCTTATCTGTATAAGGTCCCAAATTGAAAGACTGTGCAACAGGCTAAGCAAAAAGGGACAGCAGGAGTTGGCCAGATGTGAGAGCAATGAACTACATCAGGTTGTTTCTTTATGGGTTTGAAAAGAGCAGTGTGGCTTGGAAGGCAGAATATAGAAGTTGCCAAAGCAGTCTTGTGGAAAACTGAATCTCAACAGCATGCACTGAATGAGAGAAGATGGCCTTAACACTTTCTTATCCCCAACTTGATGTACATTTTGGATGAGAGAAGTAGTCACACATGAAGATGAATGCATGGAACATCATGGGGAGATGGATGTCTGAAGCTAAGAATCACAAATGCATCAATAAAAGGGTTCCCAAAGTGGGGACAAATCCATAGAAACACCAGAAGACGTAAGGACCAACTTGTTAGAAGAAATTGGTCTGGAAAAAGATAGCTGATCTGCCATTAAATTCATAGCTCACAAAACATGGAAGGCCAATAAATGGATATTTTTGTCAAGAGCCTGAAAATGAAACCTGAGAATAAGAAAGAAAAAATAAGATAACTCCAATTGAGGAGAGTCTGGATTTCAGGAGGTTTCAGAAATGTGGATATGAGAAATCATGTTTAACAAGATCCATGAAACTGAATTCATGGAAAGTATAAAAATCATTAAAAGTTTTATATTTTTTTTTATTTATTATAGTAGGTCTGATATGTCAGTGGTACTCTGAGTTACTGACAATTAGGAATGTTCCTGGCAAAGAAACCATATCACAGACTCTGTGTCCAAGAATCTTACAGTTTAATTTAAAGAAGAAAGCAAAGTAATATAAGAAAAGATAAGTCATATCAGATACTCTAACTGAAATCACACTTAAAATCTGTATCTTTCTTTCTTGAAATAAAATGAAGTTCAAAAATATAACACTTTTAATGTTGACTAACAGCTGTGAACATTGCAGTGCAAAGGAAAAGAATAAGTATTTGGTATACACAAAGTGCTCAAGTGGAGAACTGTAGTCTAATACTGAGTAGGAGTTCTATTGGCTGGAAGCAAGTTGAAAAACTGTTGAGAGGAAGTACTATTTCTAAAAAACACTATCTTGCAATTAAAAACCACTACAAAAACTTACTAGATTAACAAGTAATGCTAAAACGTATATTTTAAAACATTTAAGACAAAAAGTGATATCTTCTTGATAAATATTAAACAAATAATTTTTTTTAGCAGTGGACACAAAGATATTATACATGCTGTTAAAAAATGTAAACTGGGAGTACTTACAAAAGAATATGCAACCAGTAAGCATTAAATAATAAGAAATATACCTGGTTCATAATTTAATGAACAAAACATTTTGTCTCACTTCTTAGCAATTTAGGTGTATGTGGGTGTTGATGAAGTTCTAACTCCCTCTGCTTAGAGTTTAGAAGTGTCAATAAATAGAAAGAAGAAAAAGGAGTTCTTGGTTCTATTTATAAGAATTCTGAGTTCAAGAGTAAAACTTAGGAGAACTCAGCTGGAGTAAATGTGCAGTTTTGGATCCCTTACTATTAGAAGGATATAAATTTCTTGGAAATTACAGAAAAAAAGGATTCTAGAATGATACTTGGTTTAAGCCATTTAAGCTATAAGGAGAAGCTGTGAGTTTTGAACTTATTTTCTCTGGAAAGCAAAATAATAAACAAAGACTTGATTCAGTTGTGTAAAGTTGTGAGGAGTTTTGTCTGTTTCTGTTTTGAAATATAAATATTGATAATTCAGAGGGTTGAGTACATTATATTAAAATGATATTGAATATCAAATCAGCAAATCACATGACATCCACAGTTGATATAAAGAGATGGTAGAACATACATGTATCAAACTACATTTTGACATTGTTTAGCATTTTACAGGTGGTGTGATGCCACCAAAAAACTGATCACTTTTGGGAGAGGTTTGTAAAAACCCTTTCTGACACACACAGATCAAAAAGATGTGTTTAGATCAAAGATAGAATTTAAAAGACAGGAATATCCCTTGTAATAATTAGCACTGGAAAACAAAGGAATATGTATCAATTTATAGCATCAAGACCCCCCAGAAAGAGACCTGCAAAAATTCATATTCTAGCTGTGATAAGCAAAGTGCAGTATCTTATAACAATCCACAAACACAAAGGTCAGTGGCAAAAGCCATCCATACATCACAGGCAACAACTTGCAACATAATCAAGAAGTGTCTCCATCTAGAAACTCAATACTAGTCTGGATATATGCCATCAACTGTCACATACCTCAAGTAGTTAGAGAATGAAATGGGTATTCATGGTATTCCACATGAAGACATGCCAGTCAAACCACCATACACAGTGCCAATGGATTTCTGTGTGATCAAATTCTTGTAACAGGCACTTAACTCTTCCATAAATATATAGTCCTCCACTGACAGCTGAAAACTTTAGAAAAATCAAAATTGAAGTGACCCTTGACAGTATGAGACTGGCTCACGAGTTATAGTTTCCTGATCTATCTATTTTTTCCACCACATTTTTTATCATAACGTACATAACTGTTATCATTACAGAACAGTTTCAAGATTACAATTCAACAACATACGAGTTACTCATATCACTTGTAAGTTTTAGATATGAGAAAATAGTATTTTGAAACTTCTTTATCTCAGGTATACATGCACTTTCTTTAAAATGTAAGGAAAAATTAGTTCACTGGAAGAAAAGATTGTTTCTATATGCATTTCTTTAATGTGTCTAAACATTTTCACTGCAATATAATGTGTTTTTTTTAAAACAAACTTTTTTTGATAATCAAGGCAATTTTTTTTCACTTAATAATGTAAATCTAGTTTTTTTTTAAATTATCTGAACAGTGGGTAAAGCCACCATAACAAATGGCCATCAGGCCCCTAATGCTGGACACAGCCTAAAATAAAAAAGGCTAACTTTTTTAACAGAGCTTTGTTTATAAGAGATAAAACAAACTTAATCAAATATAGTTCAACCTAATGTCTCCTGATTTAAAGCAAATTTGTGACTCATGGGTAATATCTGAAATTAACTTACCAACATAAACATATTCAGAGTCATAAAACTCCATCCAGTTATTGATCCCCATCATTTCTTCATTTGAAAGTCCTTTGACATCATCAATCAGCCCCTCATCTGAAAAATCTCCTGTGACGTATGCTCGAGTAGCATCACGACCTAGGAATATGAAAACATCTATAAACATTTGAGCTTTTAATAAAGCTTAGATCAAACATCTAGTATATGAAAGAAAAATAATTTAATTAGAGTAGTCTGTTGTAAAAAAAAACTTCCAATGAACTATGAAGAAAGGTTATTCTGAATTGCATCTGTTTATTAAATTTAAACTACTGGGTAGTGGATATCCTACTTTTATCTACAATTGCTAATGGAAGAGATGGGAATTTTTCAAATGAAATGGAATTGCAAGTAAAATTTGATACAGAAATATTACTGTTACTTATAATTTTTAACAGTGAGAAAATTAATTTTGAAGATACACCATCCACCAACACAAAAACAGAAGGCAAAATGATTATAAAAAGAAAATTCTGTAGCAGTGGTGGTGATATTCTAGGCATATAACTGTTTACAACAGCTTGCCATCAATACAATGAATACAAATACAATGAATAAGGGAGTTTTGAAGGGTAAATTTATTTTATTAAATTAACAGAGTTGAAACTGAAAGTAAAGAATAAATGTGTGCATACAGCTTAATTTAAGGTTAGCTTTAAATTTACCATATTATGTCTACTGATCAAACAAAATTTTCACATATTTCTGTATTATTTCATAGAGAATTTCCAACTCTGATTTTACATAAGACACGTATAAATGTGCAATGAAGAAGACCAATGGATAGGTCTGCATAGCATAACTTAGTTATACCTATGCAGTGAAGGTTGGTTGACACATTATAAGCCTGCATAGTGATATTTTTGCTTACATAAGCAGTGAAGAAAAACAGAAAGAAAACACTACAGAATAGTGTTTACATCTTTCATAATCCTATTATGTAGTAATTGTTAATTCCCATAAAAAGAGACACATAGCAACTTTATAAAATCACAGATTTTACCTTCAGTGTTTAGTGATAAAGTGTGATGAACAATCATTCTGAGCTATAGTCCATTGATGAACATGCATAATCTTCAATTGTTTTCCTACCAACCAGAATCCATTTATGTAGCATATACACAACTGCATACTTGAGTATGGTAAATATTTGTAACATTTTGTCAGTCCAAATGCACAAATCAACTAAACAGAATAAAATCTAAAGGAAACATTAGTCACGATTTTGAAACATTGAAAACAAAAACAAATCTGTCATTATGGTGTAGCTGTTTTGACTGTTGAGAAAGCTGACTTTGATGATGGTTGCAGGCTACAGCATGAAAAAATTGGCAGAGTTAATGTGTAATATTTTAATTTTTAAGAAAGTTTGAAAATTAGGTATATCTTATAACAAAAACACATAATCTTGAGTACTGTATGATGAAAGGCACATATTACAACTTATTTTAATATTCTGTACTTCTCTTCTCACCACACAAACAGATACATAAATGACTTACAATGAAGCAAAAGAAACAGTGAATTTCAGTACTGGACTATCTCATGCCCTTATCATTAAAATACTTACCAAGCTGTTGCTTGATAACTCCCCTAAATTAACTGCATCTACCACATCTGAAGGTAACCCATTCAAAAGGCCAACCACCACGTTTGAAAAATAAAGCTGTATTTTTCATCCCCCAGCCCTATCATTCTCGCTAATAAATAAGAAAAATGATGATGCATCAAGATTATCAATTCCCTTAACAATTCTAAACACCTCAATCAGATCCCCTCTAACTCTTCTTTTTTCAAAAGAAAAAAGTTCAGAGATCTTAACCAATCCTCATATGATAACCTTTACACCTCAGGTATCATTATAATAGCCCTCCTCTGAATCCTTTACAACAATTTGATGTCCTTTCTGGGATAAGGAGACCAAGATTGAATACAATATTCCAAATGTGACCTAACCATAACCTATACAATGATATTACAACCTCTTTAGATTTGTATTCAATATTTCTGTAGAAACAACCTAAAATCCTATTTGTCCTGCTATTAACAACAGCACTTTACCTGGTATCTGATCTTGAAAGCAAGAGCTGATTGACAAAATCTTGTCTTCATTTCATTGTTTCAGTTAATACTTGCTTATCATGTGTGATTAATCTTCATTATCAATAATCTATTTTAATTCATCTTCTGTCAAGTACAATTTCTTTTTATTTACTGTTTTTAAGATAGTTCACTATTTATTTCAAATCAATCCAACAATGCAACAGTTTACCATTTAGCTAATCAGTCATCCTTTTTGCTTGCCATCTTCCCAGAATAGTTTGTTTCATTCAACCTCACAATATGCTTCATCTCTTTCATTCAATCTCTCAAACAAATCAGTACACTTGTCTTTCTACAAGTTAGGTTAATGAATCTCCAGTTATTGCAAAGACCAAGTTACTGTGTACTAGGCTTATCCTTAGAATACCACCAGGTTATCTTAACCACGAAAAATATTGGTATCACTGATCAGGATATAGTTATTATAGAAGTGTTTGCAAATTTGTGTCTTTAATTCCTATAAATAATTTTTCTCTTTTTACTTCCCATGAGATACTATTCAAGAGAGAAGCCTCTGCAATCTAAATAGCAGTGGAGGAGAAGACCTCTTGATTAATCATAACTTCATTCAAGGACATCATATATTCTTTTTCAAGGAGATCCATTTGTGGAATACACCCTGCATCTTTTTTTAGTAAAACTGATGAGAAAAAAGCATTCAGACACTGAAATATCTAGAAATAGTCAAAAAACTTTTCCATTTTCATTTTTCAAAGACCCAACTCCCATTTAAACAGTTTCCCTTTAGAATACTCTAAAGTCTTTAATAATTTTAACATTTTCTTTCAACTTTTTCTCATATGTCCTTTTAAATTTCTTAATACCTTTTAAACAGTTCTCTAGCACTTTTACAGGCCTCTAAATCTCACAGTCTGTTCAGTTCACTAAAATCATAATGCTTTTGTTTAGTTCTCCATTTGATTACCTTTGTATATCATCACTTTCTATGCATTTCTAGTAATTTATCTCTAAGAGTTTTCCATATCTGACAAACTTCCCAAGTCAATGGCCTGTTCCAAGTTAACTGAGACAAACAATAAAAATGGCTCCCAAATGTTACCCCCACCACAATAAAAACCCAAATCAACTCAGTCAAAAACAAAATAGAAAAGCTAATTAAAATTCAGCAATGCAACAATTGGAACAACTTCTGCAACAGACTTGATAACCTTAAACCAGACCCTTCTACCTTCTGGAAAACTTTTAAAAGCATATGCCGTGAAAATAATGATATAGACAACATATCGTATTAAAACCTAGCAGTCTCTACTGATAAACAAAAAACTGAACTATTTGCACACTATTTGAAGAAAACATTTGTTACCCCACAGGATGCCAGATTCAGTAGTAAACACCAGGACAAAATTAACTCCTTTATCAATGCTAACACCACATCCTTTTCTACCTCTTTCCCAGTCAACACACTCCAACACCACACTCCGAGTTCACCTCAAGACATATCTACCCCTATAACCACACCCGAAGTTAAAATTCACCTGAAAAATCTCAAAAATAAAGCTCCAGGCGATGACAAAATCCCCAACGTAGTTCTAAAAAATGTATCCCCCAAACTTCTGACAGATCTCACTAACATATACAATCTATCCCTTTTCTTGAGTTATCTCCCCAATGCATGGAAGTCAGCAGTCGTCACGGTTCTCCCCAAAAAAGGCACCCAATCAATAAATCCAAGTGATTTCAGACCCATAAGCTTAATTAACTGCACTGGCAAACTTCTAGAGAAAATTATAACGACAAGGTTATTATGGATGCTAGAAAACAACAACACATTATCATACATCCAGAATGCGGGCTGCAAAAATAGACAGACTGCAGACCACCTCATATGATTAATTGAAACCACGTTGACAGGATTTAATAAGCTACAAGCCACTATTGCCACATTCTTAGACATACAAAAAGCTTTTGACACTGTCTGGCACAACGGGCTTAAGTACAAATTAATAAAGCACAAAATATCCACGACATTCACAAAATGGATTTCTAACTTCTTATATAACAGATCTGCGAAAGTTAAAATCAACAGTTCAGTCTCACAACCCTTCACATTTAACATAGGTGTACCGCAGGGGTCTGTCTTAAGCCCTCTGCTGTATACACTCTTCGTTAATGACCTACCGCAGCCAACCTCGCCTCTCACGCACGCCTCACAATACGCCGATGACATAGCTCTATGGAGCACCTCATGGAACCCTCCACAAGCGGCAAAGAAAATTCAAACAGCTCTTGACAAAATCACACAGTGGTGCAACAAATGGAGGATAATACTTAATCCCACTAAAACCCAGGCAATCATACTTTACCGAAGATTAAACAAAAGACTTAAGCGTGTCAAGCTAGCTAAACTGAACCTCTACAATAACCCGATCTCACTCACTAAATCTGCTAAATTCTTAGGAATAACCATAAACTCTAAATCAACTTGGCACACACATTTTAAGGGAATTTGCAAGAAAATTAAAATAACAATAGCTTACCTCCACAAAATTAGTCACCACGCCCACGGATGCAGACCACAAATAATAATGTACATTTATAAAACATTTATCAGACCCTTATTAGACTATGGTGCAATGGTTACATGTAACATGAATAATAACCAAAGACTGATTTTACAAAAGCTACAAAACAAAGTAATACGCCTCACTTACCACCTCCCTCACTACACACCTGCGTGCTACATTGAAAAACACACTTCACTACACACAATACAAGACCGCATTTCTAAACTTGCCGTAAAATACTACAAAAAAGCCACCCACCGAAATTCACTCACAGCCGAATTTCATAAAATTGCCACCACCCCAAACCTTGGTGCAAATACCTGTCCCCATACAACATGATACACAACAACACCACTACCACACCACCATGATCCACAAAACTACTTATAGTATATTATATTCTATGCATAACCATTTCACTGTTCAGTATCTTTCCAGGTCTTCAACCTGTCAATAGATCTTCACTTTGGCACTAGTCGTTTTTTTTTATTCAGTCCTGACTAGTGAAAGTGAGTTTTCTCGAGGTACTCCCGTTTCATCAAATTCTTTGGCATTGGATCTATAGATCCCAGCCTTGGCACTTGGATCCACTGATCCCCGCCAGGCCCGTTGGTTTCATTTTGTTTTGATAAATTGTCAAACAGCTGCAGACTTGCTCCTTCTTCAAGATCAACCGGCCTCTGCTATGCCTTGGACTTGCCTTCACTTCTGCCAACTTGCCTCATCATCATACGTATATATATGGGAATATATATGTGTCAATTTTTTTTCTCTCTCTCTACTTCTTCGCCCATACGGCTCATTAATCCGCTGACCATTAATTGAAATTTAACCTTATGCCTCGAGCAGGGTGAAGGAGGATTGCTAATCTTCGATCACCCTTGAATAATAATTATTTCTTAGGAGATAATTATTTTTAAATCAAAATAACTGCCAGAAACGAACGACCGAATGAATACCCCACCACAACCTTCTAAACAATATCTACAAGATTCTTTTTAATGATTTCTCTGTTGGTATAAACTGCATCTGTAATTTATCCTGATCCCTGGCCTCTTTTTTTCATTTCAGCCTTATCCCTATAAATATAAAACACCAGTGCTGCACTGTGGGGTACAAAGGCCCTCTCATAATTAACAGAAGCTCCATTGTACTGATCAAACTACTCCATTATTCCCAATCACTTCTATAGCTACCCCAAGAGGGAGTCTGTACCACAAAACAAATCCTGTTAGGACACCTGCCTATGGCTCCTGAGAATGCATACCACATTTGGTCCCATTAGCTTGTGGATGGGGTATGAATGCAGCTTCAAACATGATGCCCCTGGAATCTTGAAGGGACTAGGAACACCAAATTTGATACCAGATTTGGGCTCAGTGACCCTGAAAACCTACTTCTACACTCTCATTATGCCACAGTGACCTTCTGGGCACATTTCACCCTCTTGGTGGGGGGCTATGCCAGATGGATAAGAACATTTTCCAGGCCACTTCAAGTCCACTTGCTAAGTTTGGTCCTGCTATCTCCAAATATGTCGAAGGAGTTCATGGATAAGCAAACACACAGTATGAATTAATATACAATTATCATTTAACTACCCTCATGCAATCTTCACTGACTGCATTAGAAACTGTACTTTTGTCAAATCACCCCAAATCAACATTTATTCCCTTATCACTCTCTTATAATAGTTTAAACCCATGTGCACAGCTGGGATCAAAGTGCATACACCACAACTTTCTACAGAGTGTTGTTCAACATGATATTATGTATGTGGTATCAGTTATCAACTATTCATATTGCCCTTCATTGCTGGTTTAGCACAATTCATGGTAAAGGAGAGTAAATACTAGATACAACATAAAGGTATTCTGAAAAACTGCAGATATGCATTTCAGAAGTTCTAGAAGTTTACAAATGCAAACTGTAAGATTAACAAAAGTATTTTTATTAATCCTATGAGCATCACCTTGCACTCTGACTTATCAGTTTGAATCATACATATCTTGAGTACAAATACTATATTAACACATCTGTTTTTTGTGTACAACAGACTTGTACTATTTACTGAAAGCTTACCATATTTTGTGAAGATACAGATAGTAAATTTGGAATTATAGTAAACATTATTTCCTCAATAGGGGTCAGTCTGATGGACCAATCTTATGCACATTCAGTTAATGTCTCCTGAATGGCTGGATTAATAGCTGTCATAAAAACATTAACCCCTCTCCTACTCAAATGTACACCATCCATTCCACGGAAGTTTCTTTCACCAATAAATGGGTTTGATAAATTCATCCACCCAACTTACTCTAAATGGCATATATTTCAAGCAACCATTTGGTCCTATTGACCTTCTTGGAACACCACTACCATAACTAAATCTTTTCATCATTCCCAATAAAACTATGTTATGACCTCTAGCCTTAAAAGCACTTACTAATTTCCTGTACTTAAGTAGCTTTTCAGACTTTTTTCTTCCTATTGCATTAGCCTCAACATATATTACAAAAATAACTTCTTTATTACCCTCTTTAACATCCTCAACTATCCTCTCAATTCTACAATTAACTCCAGCTTCTAGTCATCACACACTAGTTATTTTTTCCTTGTTTACCCTAAATACTATTCTCTGTAAGTATCTAACCAAAAAATTAATAAATACCATATCATTATGTGAATGTACTACAGACCAAATCACCCTCATCATCTCCTCCAATTGTGGGATAGTTATGCAAATTTCTGCTCCTCCTAACCTTTCTTGTTGCCAATGCAAGAAACTTGTATGCCCTAAAGTTATCATTCCAAGCTTTTACTTGTTGTTAAACAAATACTGAAACAACTGTATTTATTCAATTATGTACAAGCTGCCCAGTGTCAGCTTACAATGTGAAGAATTTAATTGTGTCAGAATGCTACAAGTTCTTCAAATACCTAGAGAATGATAGGTTTCTTTTTTGTGAGTGTAAAACACTGAAATACACAGGTTCAATGTATTTTCTTTTACTTGGCTTAAAGTATGTTTCAACTTTCATATACCAAATTACAAGTATAAGAGTAAGAGATATCAACTTGCAGGGTAAAAAATGCAGTACGACTATAAAAATGATATAACAACAAGTTTAGAAATTATGATCTACAAATGTTTTCCTTATAGCATAGTATAGAATTAAAAACGTTAGGAATTTAAAACTGTTTGTTTGATGCCTGCACATTTGTTCTATGTTTGTGTGGTCAAATGGTGGAATGGAAATGTTCAACTTGAAGGTACTAACATAGAAGTTAGATTAACTTTAACAACTAAACAAGTCCTTTTGTCACTTTGTTTTCTCTTATGTCTTATGTCCTAATTTATTACCTGCAAAAAATGAATAACCACCACTCGGTTTGTAGTGCTGAGCTCCTTCCCTCACATCATAGACTTTCCCTAAAAATGCTAAATACAGTCCTTTACTATCCAGACCACCATCGTACAATTGCAGTTCTTCTGGAGTAAAGAGGTCCACAGGACGCTTATTGGATATTTTCGATGAATCTAGCGTATCTGCAAAACAGTACGTGAAGCCTAGAAGTCCTTCGTGCAATCCAGTATAAAACAAAAAGCCAAACATGACAATAAAAGTTATCGATGAGATATTCCCAGTACTTTTTATATTCATTTTGATTAGTTATTTTTAAAGTTACACACGTGAATTTAGCTATTTGTATTTAAAATTTGTAAATAACCAAGCACACGGGCGTTATAATCGAGCGGAATGAAAATTCATAACTAGTAACGAACCTATTTCACAATGATGCATTCCAGAATACTACAACTAGTAGTGAATAGTATAACGTCACTCTAACCTAAATTTTCAGTCTTTTAATTTGGTTGTTTGCCAGAGGGGGTTGCCGACACGATGATGACACTGGATTTAGAAAATTTATAAAAGTAACCCTAGAATGTTATTAATGGAGATAATTCTGTGAAATATCTAAAAACAATGATGTATTATACATACGAAAATCTTTGGTGCAGTGAATCAGTTTTCAGTTCGATCAGTGATTGAAATGTTAGTGAAGTATTCAGATCAGTATAGGTTGCCACTATATTTAGTTACTCAATCCATTATCTGTGAAATTGCACACGTAAGTTTATTTGTACAGTAGTCGTAGTACCATTAGCAGTAAATTTCATATAAAAATGAAAATGTTATTTATGAACTTAGGCCTACGACTGTGTACAAGCGATAGAGGTTTGTATCAAACGTTAAGGAGGAAATAAATTTAATTTGTTATTATCACGTGAATCGTATTTCGTATTATTGTCATTAAGTAATTAAAAAGAACATGCCCAATGAAAGAACAAGTTACAAAATTGATGTCAGAAGCGAGGTACATTGGTGAAAACAAAATATATTTAAATTTTCACCGTTGGGACAGTAGTAAGTTTATGGACTTACAATGCTAAAAGCCTACCCAACTGTACCACCCAGTGTCTTCAAGTTGTTGCTGAGGGATCAGTTTGTAGACGCCTTGGACAGTCCACAACTGAAGATACCAGTAAAGCAAGCACACCCTTCTACTATGCAGGATGCAATGGACGGAGCTCTTGAACTCGAATCCTATGTTAAGTCCAGCACAGAGGTACTAAGGTCAGTAGAGTCGTCAGGATTCAAGGCCAGAAAATGGCAGCTTTCAGAGTGGTTTGAGGCACTTTGCTGGCACTGTAACAAACCCATG